GGAGTTACTGTGGACCTACTGCATGCCGGGCCTGGAGGGAGCAACACAGGTATCTCTCTCGTGACAAGGATTCAGCTGGCACGCAGTAGGTTCTCAGAAAAAAAAATGGCCAACCTGCTTGGGTGACAAAGTAACTGTCAGGTACCATCAAGTCAATTTCAACTCATGGTGACCCCATGTGACAGACCAGGTTCTCTTGGCTATGAACATTAGGGAAGCAGGTAACTAGGTCTTTCTGCCATGGAGCCGCCAACCTTTTGGTTAACAGCTGAGTGCTTAACCGATGCACCACCAGGGCTCCTGATAGATACCGCCCCAGAGAAGGTGTGACATTCACAGCACCATCTCTGCAATCAGCTTATTCATCTGGCCTGAGAGCCTGCACGAGCGTCAAGAACGCGGACAGAATGAAAGCAATGAACGTGGAAAGAACACAGATCGTGGGGTCAGGCAGACCTGGACTGAAGTCGCATTTCTGCCCCGATTAGCCCTGCGTCAGAAAGCCAGTCACTGCCTCTCAGAAAGCAGCACGCACGAAACGGGGAGGAGAACAGTAACCCCCTCTCAGGCTTGTATGGATTAAAAGCCATAAGGCACATGAAGCACGAAGCCCAGAGCCTCTGCACACAGTAGGAGCTCAATAAAGACAGAGCCCACTCCCCTGAAGTGTCTGCATTAAGAAGAAAACACTGTGCAGAAAGGCACCGTCCAAGGAATGAGAAAATGACGTGGGTGGGAGAATGACAAAATGCCAGAGCACCGTTTGTATTCTTTATCACAGGCAACGGTGGAACACTCCTGGTCAGCTCTATAAATAGGCCGGCAGCAACCTTGAGAGCGAGAGGAGGTGACGCCTTTGACAAGAACGCCACAGAGCTGGCGCTGGAGAAGCCTGGGAGGTCATTGAGACTCCCACACGTCACCACCCCAACATCTCACAGAAGGAGAGGGCCCTTCCCCTTTCTGCACCTGTTTTCTCATCACAACAGTGTGGGACCAGACTGTCTGACGACCAATCAAGCTTATGTGGTACCAGGACCTCAGATCCTGGCTCTTCTTTGGCAAAAAAAACATGGGCTTCTGTGGGTCTTGGAGGATGAGGACATCCTGGTCTTTGCTGCCTTCTTTGTTAATGTTCTGGCGAAACACCTTCCTGAGGTAGCACTTTCAGCGTCTAAGCACGCTCAGAGTGTGATCCTCAGGCCATTAGAATGCTTCGGAGCCACCTCCATACACTGCTCTTCAAGGAAACTAAAATGTGTGTGCAATGCACGGGGCAGAGGAAAAGGGCAGTCCAAGAAGTCACTGTCCACATTCTTCTTGCCCCTTGCCTCATTTTCACAAACAACCACTTGTTTACTTAAAGGGTAGCATTACTCAGACAGCTAATTCCAAAGAAAGCTGACTGATGAGTCCTGCCTTAAAAAGCGTTCCACCACAGACTTCTATGTTCACTCAAGGCTGTAACCTTGAACTTGAGGCTTGGGCCACCTCAGGTATCGTGAGGTTAGATGCACCAAGTGAATCATTTTACATCAGTACTAGCAGGCTCTCAGCAAGCAGCTGTCTGCAGCAGG